GCACGTTAGTAGCCAGAGGGGAATCGGACGCCGTTTAAGGACGTGAGAAGGGAAAATTAGTCCACCGCCTCACCTCCCCACCCCTCATTGTTACCAAGTTTCGGACCCAAGGGAGTAACAGCCTTTTAGAGCCCCCTGAACCCCCCCATTCCCTTCCTGAGGAGAGAACATATTAATACCGGGGCGTGACGGGAAGGAACGCTCACCTTCCACCACGCCACACAAGAACCTCCGAGCCCCTCCTGCAGCCCCGGTCACTGCCGCTCCCCCAGCCCCGGTTCCTGGGTTGTCTTCCCCAGGGGCTGGAGCTGCCGGCGGCTCCAACGATGCGCCCGCAGAGGCGGCTGGGTTAGAACTGAGTTCATTCTCCCGCTCCTCCAGCGCCGCCTGGCTCTCCTTCTGCACCATCCTCCTGCCACCGGCCGCCGCCACCTCTGCGGGTCCTCTTCGGCTTCCGTCCGTTGGGCCACGGGACAGGAACCCTGGAGAGGGCCTAAGCTCCAAGCACGCGACCCTCCGGCTCCTTCCCCTCCCCCTCAGCCCTTCCCCCTCCCTCTCCGCAGGGGCCCGATTGCCCGGATGAGAAGGGCGGCGGCACCGGCGAGAGCCCTTTGTCAGCCGCTGCCTTAGCCTAAGCTGGGAAGCCGAAAACCTAAGCAGAGAAGAAAGCGAAACCGCGACTTCTCGTTCACTGGAAGCCGATGGCCAAGGCTCCTCTTCTCGTTCTCGGTGTCTGCTGCCCTCTTAATAATCTTAAGTCTTTCCGCTGCTGCCCCCGAAGCCCCTAGTTCTACTCTGCCGCTGCCTCTAGGACCCGCTTCCTGTTTATCCGCACTGCGCCTGCGCCGCAGACCGGCTCAGACCGGTCCTCTCTGCCCCCCCTCCCCCTCCTTCTTTGGGGCCAGCCTATTACGTTTCATTCAGTAGGGGGAAATAGAACATAGGAAACGCGAAAAGCTGGAGGTAATGCAGGCGGTGGAATGTACTATTTATGCTTGCCACCCTCCAGAAAGAGCCCAACACCTTGGTACGGACCATTACTCCACCAGTAGAAGGGGAGTATGGGAGGAGGCTACCGCCTTTTGGGGCAATTAGGCGAAGGGGGGTGGGTGTAAAGGAAAGGAGTTTACTCTCTCAAAGCGCAAGCGCGGAAACGAAGCCTCTGGTTCTTAAAGAGACAGGAAGGAACTGACCTACTTTCTATGGAGATTCTTGTAATAGTTTGGCTAATTACATTCGCCTGACCAGGCTCGGTTCTGTGACGACACCATTCCAAGGAGTTCAGCTCACCCCTCTGCCTTGAATCATTTTTCGCTATCCACTTTGGAAGCTAACTCCATTTAACGATGCAATTATTCGTTCATTCCTTCACGCAGCAGGCACCAATTGCGCTTGCCTGGTCCTGGGCTCACGGGCCACTATGAGCTCACAGTATGGTGGTAGGCAAGCAAGTACACACAGAATTCCTTCATGATGTGTTTCAGGAAGTCAGAAAAGGTAATAACTAACTCCTACTTTGGGGAGAGGCTGTGGATGTGGTTCCCTTTTGGCTGTGCTGGGGGATTGAACTCCAGCCCTGGGTTTACTTTACTACTGAGGTACCCTTACCCCGTGGCTTTATTTCTGAGGTGGATTATAAAGGATGAGTAGAAGTTTGCTAGAATAGGTGGTGAGAGAAGTGAAACAACAGAGTCTAAAAGTAGGGAAGGCTTGAAAGGACTGGTTTGTTTGGAAATGGGGAGTACCCAGTGAATGTGTGTTATGGTTTAGATTTTTAATGTTCTCCCCCAAATCTCATATTCACACAACATGGTTCAGAGGTGAGGTTTTTAAGCAATGACTAGATCATGCGGGCTATAACCTCATCAATAGATTAATGAATTGTATTGGTTAATAGTTTGGACTACTGGGTGATAATTGTAGGCAGGTGGGGGAGCTGGAGGAAGTAGGTTAGTGGGGGTGTGTCCTTGGATTATATCTTGTCCCTGGCTCTCTTCCCACCCCTCACTACTTTCTCAATGCCATTAGTAGAGTGCCTTTCTTCCACCATGCTATTCCTCCAGAACAAAGGCGCTTCCCAACCGTGGACTGAAACCTCTGAAACCATGAGTTCAAAATAAAACTTTCGGCCCAGCGCAGTGGGGCATGCCTATAATCCCAGTGGCTCAGGAGGCTGAGATGGGAGGATCACAAATTCAAAGCCAGCCTCAGCAATGGCCAGGTGCTAAGCAATTCAGTGAGAACCTGTCTCTAAATAAAATACAAAACAGGGCTGGGGAAGAGGCTAAGTGGTCAAGTGCCCCTGAGTTTAAAACCCTGGTACCAAAAAATAAAATAAACCTTTGGTTTTCCAAGTTGTTCTTGTCAGGTATTTTGGAAAGCTAACATAGTGAGTGAGGAGGCATGGGATCCCTTGAGCTTCAGCATCAACATTTTATGAAGAAACCTTCCCTAAACTCTAGTTCAGCAAGTTCCCTTTACTGTATGCTCCCAGAGCTATAGTCCTATCATAATGTATTTCACATTTGTGTGGGTTGAGAAATGTTTCAACTTGTAAGGAATAAATACCTCATTCTCCTATTAAAACAGTACTGTAGCTCCAGGGACTGTTACAGTCTTCCTTCTTTTTAGTCCTGGAGCAAGAATTTTCAGTATGGAACATTTCACAAACTTACACAAGGGCCAACCTAATCTTGTCTATATCAATCCAATTTTAGTTTATGTACTGATAAATCAAGCACAGAGCAGGCATTTTCTTAGGGGACCTCCTGTGAGGCCAGCTGGGGATCATAAGCAGTTTCACTGGATATTGTTGTCCCTTGGAGAACTCAGGGGCTGTCATTCTAGTTGACCCTAGCTCTTAGTCTCATGACATTTTTTTTTCTCTGTTTCATACTTCACACTGTCACAACTGGCAGAAAGTCAGCAGTCAGTTTCATCTACTTTTCACAGTCCAGACTCTAGATCCTGTGCTCCAAAATATCAACATTCTGTTTCAAACTCAAAGGGTTCTTGTTACACAATTGCTACACATTTCTTTCCACATCACACTTCTCCCCCTGCTCCTAACTTTAAGGGTACTTCTTGCTATACAATTGCTACACATTTTCTTTCCACATCACACCTCTCCCCCTGCTCCTAATCAGTGCTTAGTAGCTCCTTAATAAATGTGGAAAGAGAGACACCCTTTACATTTTGGTTGGAGAAACTGACAATAATAAATTCAGTATGTTAGGGTTTGGATCTGGAATGTCCCCCCAAAGGCTCATGGGTTGAAGGATTAATCCCCAGTGAAGCAATGTTCAGAGGAAGAGCTTTGGGCAAGTGATTGGATCATGAGGGCTCTGATCTCATCAGTGGATTTATAATTTGATGGCATTTTTTGGTGGTGGAACACAGTTAAAGGAGTAGATCCTTGGTGTGTGTGTGGGGGTGTCCTTGGGGACTATGTCTTATCTCTGGCCCCTTCTCCCCACCTCCTCTGCTTCCTGGATGTCATGAGGTGAGCAGCTTTGCTCGTCTTCCCACGATATAATACCTCACTGCAGGCCCAGAATGAATGGAACAGAACCAGCCAACCATGAACTGAAACCTCTAAAACTGTGAGCCAAAAATAAATGTTTATTCCTAAGTTGTTTCTTCTCAGGTATTTTGTCACAGCAACAAAAAGCTGACTAACAGGGTTCTTACACAGGAACAGTCTGATAAATGTTTTAAGGGGGGAAATCTAGTGATAGGATGAATAGTAAATGCAATAAGGAAGAGCTACTTCATATGGATTAACAATTAGTAACTTAGGTGAGTGATTATGGTGGCTTAGACTAGGGATTAGTCCTCCAGTTCCACCATCAGTGGAAAGAGAGTGAAGGAGAGGAACAAGACTAAAAAAAAAAAAATGTTTTTCAGTACTGGAGATTGAACCCAGGGGTGCTCTCTACTACTGAAATGGATGAAATACATCCCCAGTCTTTTTTTTTTTTTTGGGGGGGGGGGCAGTACTTGAGCAAAGCTGCTCAGAGGCACTCAACTACTAAGCCACATTCCCGACCTTATTTTATATTTTACTTAGACACAGAGTCTCACTGAGTTGCTTAGCAACTCACTTTTGCTGACTGAACTTGCAATCCTCTTGTCTGAGTCTCCTGAGCCACTGGGATTACAGGCGTGCGCCACCACACCTGGCCATCACCAGCCATTTTTAGTTTTTATTTTGAGACAGGATCTTGCTAAATTGTTGAGGCTGGTCTCAAACTTGGCAATCCTTAGCTTGTAAGCTTCAGCTTCCCATGTAGCGAGGATTACAGGTGTGTGCCAATTCACTTGGCTAAAGCTCTTAAACACCGAAGGGCTTGGAATGTAGCTTAATGGTAGAGCACTTACCTAGTATTTGTGATTTGTGGAACACTGAATTCAATCCCCAGCACTGAAAAAAGAAAAAAAAAAAGAAAAGAAAAAAGAAAAAGAAAGGAAAATAATAAACTAATTCAAGGGAACTCCCCTCAAGCACTTTGTGATTAACTACATTTGTAAATTAGAAATTCTTAGAAATCAGAAATTCTAAATGTCTGCCAAAGCACAGCTTTCTTGGCATATTCTTTGAGTCATCAACATCTTGTCCTTCCTTGTCCCCTTGCAGGATATGGGAGAGTCCTGTAGGGGACCTAAGGTCAGGTGGGTTTCCACCTATTCCAGAATCTGAGTCTTGGTCTCCTGCCAATGCATGGCTGGACTCAAAAAGACAGGCACTTTCTTGGGGATCTTTTTTTTTTTTTTAAGTTACAGATGGACACAATACTATTATTTTATTTTATGTGGTGCTGAGGATTGAACCCAGTGCCTCACACGTGCTAAGGAAGCACTCTACCACTAAGCTATACCCCCAGCCCTTTCTTGGGGATATAAAAGGCTGCAGGCACATGAGTTTTGGATCAGGCAGTATTTGTGGGGTAGGAAGGACAAAAAGGCAGAGACAGCAGCCTATGCATAGCCATTGTGTTTTATTGGATCTGGTGTATTTGTTATTTTACAAAATATACAGAAGAGTCAAAAATGCAAAGCAGTCAGCAGTGTCTGATGGGACAGGGAGGTCCGTGGGGGCCCTTCCCCTCAGATTCTGGCTGACTGGGAGGGTGAGCTGAATGGGACAAGCAGATATATTATGGAGTAGCAGCATGGCAGGAGTGCTGATGATGAGGTGGGACAACCTGGGTCCTATCGTGTGCTAAATGGCATCTCTGGGTGGGCTGAGTAGAGGAAGAGGAGACTCAGGGAGTTAAGGAGGCTAGATAAGGGTTTGGGGTGCAGCCTGGTTGATCAAAGGTTCTAATATATGCCCCCCCCCCACTGGGTTCAAATATTATGCCTGCCTTCCTCCTTCGTTCTCCCTCTAAGGCATCCACTGGGAGGGGTGATGGGATCCATGTTCAGGAAAGTCCCTGATTCACTCCATGCCTCCAAATTTAGAGGATATGGCAGGTGAAAACTCAAGTCATAGCCATCAAAACAGGCAATGAGCAGGAAAAGCAAGCTGAAACTTTGTTACGCATCAACTAAGACATCTCCCACCCACAATCCCTACCACTACCACATACAAGCAGGAAGGAGGGAGAGGAAGGAATTTCAGGGATAAGCCAGATATCTGGTTCCCAAGATACCTGGTATCCTATGATACTGGAAGGGTATGGAAAATTTCTGGGGCATAAGGCCTTCTGAAAACTTTGGAAATGCTAGTGGCCTGGAGTAGCACACTGTGTGACTTGAAGCTTTAGCCCAACATGCCTGAGCTCTAATGCTCTTCCATGGTCTTTCTGTTCTTCACTCCAGTCAGATACTAGGAACAAACCACTGGCTCAGGACCAAGATTTCTCCCTTAGTATTCTGTTTCCCTCCCACAAGGCTCTCAAAGGCGGTATGAAAAGCCAGCCGGTACGCCAAGGACAGAGCATTCTCTGAGAAGGGAGTCTTAGGGGAAGTGTTTGTGAGATCAGGGATGGGGAAGCACCATAGCAGGAAACATTCTGTCTAGTGTTGTGGTTTCTTAGAATTGGGGTAGGAGGTGGGCAATCATTCATTTCTTATAGCAGAGGCACCCTTAGCACTGGGTGTCAGGCAAAAAGGGGGTAAAAGCTGTTGGGAGTTGGGAACACCCACCAGATGTACTTTGCCCACTCTCTGGCCCCTTCAAATCCAGGGTTCTAGACTACAGAAGCCCCAGGCTTTTCAATCCCTATAGCCCGCAGGGTAGGGCTTGGATGAGGATAGACCTGGGAAGAGAAGGGTGAGGTCTGCCTGAACTAGGACTAGAGCATGGTGCCCCCAGGACACACTAACTCCCTCTTCTGGGGAGCTAGATGACATTGTCAAAGAGCTGCATGGACCTCATGATGTTCTCATCCTGTGGCCATGGTGTGAGTAAAGCAGATTGGAGAGAAGGAGAGAGAAAGAGAAAAAAGAGAGATTGTCAGGAAGAAGAACACTGAATCAGAGATGGGAACATTCAGAGGCAGAGAGGAGGGAGATACCCAGATAGAGATGGGGAAGAGATAAGACATCCCTTATCATGAAGGAACAGGATTGGGGAATGGGGAGTGGTGAGATAGGGAGGAGGCACTCTGACCAAAGAAACTTTTTTTTTTTGGTACTGGGGATTGAACTCAGGGACACTCAACCACTGAGCCATATCCCCAGCCCTATTTTGTATTTTATTTAGAGACAAGGTCTCACTGAGTTGCTTAGAACCTTGCTTTTGCTGAGGCTGGCTTTGAACTCATGATCCTCCTGTCTCAGCCTCCCGAGCCACTGGGATTACAGGCGTGCACCACTGTGCCCAGCCAAAGTAAATTATTCATACATCATTGATTCAGGCCCTGAGTCCAGACCAGGGAAATGTAGAGGGCAGGGCCTGTACCTTTTGACAAGATTCAATGAATTCCTCAATGGTCACCACACCATCCTTGTTTCTGTCCATCTTCTACAAGAAGGTGGGCGGGCAGGGAGAACAATAGGGATGGCAGGAGAAAGGCATGCAGAATTCAGGTAAGTTCCCATGTTGGTTCCTGGTCTCCTTCCCTTCACTCCGGCCCTCCAGCCTACCCAGTCCCAGGCACCTGGAAGAAGCTCTCCACGTGTTCCCTTGGGGCCTCCTCTCGGAGTGCAGGGTATGTGTACTTGCCCATCATGTCATAAATGGACTTCATGATGTCAAGCATTTCCTGTTAGGCCAAAAGAGAAGAAGATCCCTCTTCAGAGCCTCCAGACTCCAAACCAAGAGGCTGATGGCCTATGTAGATTTTACCCTCTTGCTGGTCATACATATATGGGTCGTTTTCTTCCCATGGCCCTTTGTACCCCACAACCCACCCCCACATAACCCTTCAGTTGCCCTGCACCTCCTTGGTGATACAGCCATCTTTGTTGAGGTCATACAGGTTGAAGGCCCAATTCAACCTGTCATCTATGGTTCCCCGAAGAATCACCGACAAACCAGCAACAAAATCCTAAGAAGGGAGTAGAGAAGAACTGTGACTTCGGGTACCCGTCACCCAATCCTTTCTTTGGATATGACCTGGAGATTCTGATATGTAAACCCAAGGAAGTAGGCTTCTCTGACCTACCTCCCCAGCTCACCTCAAAACTGACAGAGCCATCATGGTTGGTGTCGAAGGCGTTGAAGAGAAAAGTAGCGTAAGTGCTGGAGTCTGTAGGATAAATGTGGGGAAGTGAGCCTGGCTTCCAGATGGGAGAGGACTTCCTACCTCTACCAAATCCTTCATGGCAATCCCAGCCTTTCAGCACCCTCTTTCCCCACTCAGCATAACAAAGAACAGCTGCTTTCTCTTGGGCCTAGTTTGCTCACCTCCTTGAGGAAAGAACTGGGAGTAAATTTGCTTGAAGTTCTCCTCATTGACAATTCCGCTGGGACATTCCTGGGAGGAAGGAGAGAACCATACTGAGGGCAAAGACAAAACCCACTTTCTTTTCACTGCCCTTTCTCTACCCTCCATGGCCAGCCTTCCAGAAAGGAAAAGTCATCATGCCTCCAGGGGGCTCACCACTTAGATCTTGGTATGGCAGGCAAGACTTCTTCCCCAGTGCACAAATGAAAAGCATATAAYTAAATCCCAGTCTACAGGATCAGAGTACATCTATTTTGGCCCCAGGCCAAAACTTCAGGCTAGAAGTTGGTCTCTGGGGCTATAGCCCTCAACCTCAAAGCATCTAGGCATTACTTTCTATCAGCTGGTGCCCTCCTGCTCCCGCCCCCCCCTTACCCAGTTTGGCCTCGCCTTCACTCACGTTCTTGAAGCCCCGGTACAGGACCTGCAACTCCTTGCGTGTAAACTTGGTTTGCTCTTGCAGCTGCTCCAGACCTTCTGGTCGGTGACACACAGTGGACAGTTCAAATTCATCCTCTACGCTGTCTGTGGGGAGCGGTGGGGGGTGGGGGAGGGACAGCCTCGCCTCAGGCCCGGCCCCCTGCAAACCCTGCAACAGCTCTTCAAAATCACCGACCCCAACACCCTCCTCCCTGTCCCATCTGCTGCCGAAGACTGCCTGCCAGTTCTCTGGACCCAGAGCCGAGGACATCCACGCGAGAAGAGAAGACGATGGTCCGTTTATCAGCGAGCCAAAGCCACGCCTGGCCCGGCCCGGCCCCAAAGACTGGGGTCGGACTCAGCCCTTGACTCGGGGCCTTTAATGCCTGGTTGCAGAAGAAGACCCCAACCTGCATCTTCATTTCAGAGAGGGAGGAGTGGGAAAAGCTGGTTCGAAAGCCGGTGTCTGAGGTTGGGCGCTCCGGTCGTTTTTTTGACCAACTCAGATGTGCCCCACCTCATCCTTGCCAAGCCCAGATCTTCCCCTCCCCCAACTGCGCTGTGCTCATCCCAGCCATGCCTGAGCCATGCTCCGCCCTGCTCCAGCCAATCTCCATCCAGACCCAACACAGGCTCCATCTCCCGCCCCACCTCAGTCCCGCCTGTTAACCAGTGTTCAGCCCCCAGGCAAATGCCCCCACCCACACTCTCAAAGTCCCGCCCCTCCCCCCCCAGGAGAGTAAGTCACCTGGGTCCAGCGGGCGGGGTCTGTGGGGGCGGAGGGAGGCTGGGGCRGCTAATGCTGAAGGGAGTGAACTGTCACCGAGAAAGCTGAAGACCCGGCCCAAAGCAGACACTCACACACAGCAAATCTCACAGACCTGTATACAATGCACATACCCCAAACCCGCAGCAAAAGCACACGTAAAGAGCAGACATACACGAATCGGATCCCATGCACACAACCATGTCCCTATTTTTCAAACCTACCCCGTGAAAGGACCTATCAGAATCAAACATCATGACAGTTACAAAACGGGACTTCATAGCTTGCAAAATTCAGTATGATCCTCTGAAGTGGGCACAGGGAGACTTAGGGACAAGAGGTCCTCTCGAGGTTACATAGTTGGGGACCAGGCTAAGACTGAAAACCCAAGTATTGCCGGGCCAGTGGCAAACGCCTGTAATTCTAGTGACTCAGGAGGTTAAGGAAGGAGGATTCCAAGTTTGAGACCAGCTTTGGCAACTTAAACTTAGCGAGACCCCTTCTCAAAACTAAAAAGGGCTGGGGATGTTGCTCAATGGTAGAGCGTCCCTGCATCACCCCCCCCCCAACAACAACAACAACAAAAAAGGATAAAAGAAAACCCAAGTATCCTGGCATCTGGAGTAAGGCGATCTCCACTCTCTAAACCTGCAACCATCCTGTTGTGGCCACGGGGGAAATTTATAGCTAAGCCCAAAACATACACAGTGACAGGCAGTCCACACAGTCACAAACACTAAGCCTGGTTTAGACCTGCTTAGTGGCCTGGTCCCCACCCCTCCACTGGCCAGGCCCACGTAGGCCTGGGCATGGGCCCTGCCACTCTGGTCATGCCCAAACGCTCTATTTCTTAGACCAGTGATGCTCACAGGCACTCGGGACACCACATACATACCAGCTTCTTCAAGCACACCAGCCAGCCCCCCCACTCCGACCCTCACCCCACCAGCCAAACTGGCCACGCCAACGTCACTCTACCACAATGACACACGCTCGGCCCCGCCCCCGGAAGCACAGGAGAGGCACTTGCTTTCACTGACTGAGGGCAGGGCTTGGGGCCCGCAGCAAGGCAGCAGCTTGAGGAACCGCTGCTTCAGCGCTTTTTTAGTGGGCCCTGGAGGGTGGCCTAGGAAGAGAGAAGACCCCAGGAAGGCACGTTAACTTCCATTTTTCCCTCCGTTCCCTGTCCCCTTCAGTCACAAGTCAAGCCTGGCTGGAGGAGGGCTAGGAAAGGAATGAATGGGGAGGAAGGCGGGCAAGGATAATTGGGGCCGGGTTAGGAAGCCTACTGGTTCTCACAAGCATGCAGAGTGCATCAAGCAAGGCTGGGGTACTTAATATAATGGGATAGGGCCCAGTGACAATGAGGCAGCAAAGAGAGAGGTCGTACTGGCCTCAGTGTCTTTGCTCACCCAGTGCCCTTGGCTTGAGTGCCATAGCTGGACCTCAGGGTAATGTCCAACCTAAGGATTGCTAGGTAGAATCTCTCTTCCTTTCTCTCTCACTCTCTCCCTCCCTCTCTCAGACACACACATATACAAATATGCATGTATAGGGACACAGAATGATAAGTCAGACAGGTGCCAGTGACAGCTTGATCCACTTGGGAGGCTGAGACAGGAGGACCACAAGTTCGAGGCCCACCTCAGCCAGCAACTTAGTGAGGCCTTGTACCAAAATAAAAAATAAAAAGGGTTGGGGATGTAAGCACCCCTGGATTCAATCTTCCAAACTAGGAAAGCAAAATAAAGCAAAAACACCACACAATGACCCTGGAACACCATAACACTGTGTGTTAAGAATACCATGACACACATCCATATCATATTGTGAGCTAGATCCTCTATAGCAGACAGACACCTAAGGTTGCACCTCACCCACAGAAGCTTCATCTGTCCTGGGTACATCTACTTTTCTTTCCTGTTACTTCTTATTTCAAGGCACCCAGAATCTTCCTGAGAAGGAGGGTTCCTTATCATCTAACATCTACACCATTAAGTGTGGCTGTTTCCCAGTCCTTTCTAGTATGGTTGATTGCTCTTTGAAGGCGAAATGATAGTGGACTTTGAAGCAATAAAAAATCTTGGAGATCAATATTTTGGTGTCCTGTGGGGTTATTTAAGGCCCAATGATCATAGCTCCTCTTTCTCCCCCCACCCTTTATTTCTGCATATATCTTATAGCTCTAATTGTACACCAGGAGGACCCTTAGCATTATTGTGTCTCCAAGCTGCAAACACCTCCAGATCCCTGGGCCAGAGCTCGCCGGACCTGACACACTGACTAAAGTTTGCCTCAGTACATTCCTGGAGGGGCCCAACTTCCTTTAGTCATTCCCCCATCCCAGTACCCCAACCCACCTCGCCCCCCCACACCAGACTCTACCCTCCAGACCAAGAGGTAACTGTGTGAGGTTATCACCTCTTTGAACCTCATCTCTCTCCCTCCCCAACCCACTCCAGGAGCTATAGAGAGATAAGGAGGCAGTGGGCCAGGTTGGTGGGGGCGGGGTGTGGGAATCGATGGTGGCCTGGCCCCTAGCCCAGGGTTCCATTACCCTGGACTCTGTTTTCCCAAAGCCAGATTGTGCTTGGGGCCTGTGGTGGTGTAGTCACCCGACTGTGGGGTGGGGAGTGAGGTACAGAGCTCTCCTCCTGCCTTGCCTACTCTCAAGCCTTAATCTCCTTTAGCCCCCCTTAAAGGTAGAAGATAAAGCCTCTGACTTTAGACTACAGGATATTGCAGCTTCCCAGAGTCCCACCCCAAAGTCAGTAGGGAAAATGCTACTGGAGGTGGAGAGGGAAACATTTCTGTCTCTTCCATCTCCCTCAGAGTTTTGATTTCCCTCTTCTCTTCACAAGAACCGTGAAGCTCCATGGTACAGCTGTTTCCTCTCTTCTCACCAAATAGTCTAAAGCATTTTCTTAGAGCCAGTTTCTTCCCTTTTTTCCCTCCCATTGCGATACTGGGGATCAAACCCAGGGCTAGGCAAGTGCACTATCACTGAGCCACATCCACAACCCAAGTTAGAGTCAGCTTATTTCATCTTTTCCATAATGAATGAGAACCAGCTCAAACCAGTCTCCTAAGTCTAACTCTCAGTCTACAGCAGAGGATGAAGGGTGCTCTTACTGAAGGAACCCTAGAGCAGGCAATTCATGAATCTTCCTCTGACACCAGCTTCCTTCACATCTTTCCAGTTCTCCCAGGTGTCTAACCAATAGCCCCTGTTCCCACCCCCAGCCCCATCATGGTTCTTGCATATCTTGCCTGCCTCCCCTGGTGAAACTGGGACTCTAGAACCACTCCAATTCTAAGTCTTGAACATATCCTCAGGGAATTGGGAACAACTTCATTTAGCCTTATACCCAAAAAGGCTCAGCCACTCACCTTGTCCAGCTTAGGCATGATCATATCCACCATTATACAAGCCACCAATCCTATCATGATACATGTGATCATATATCTGTCATATACACAGGCTCATATAGTCACATACTGTCCTCGCTCACACACATGAGCACACACTCATATTCCATGTCACACTGAGTCCATATACACACCCTGTAACCTACACCTATACACATGGAGGTATGGAGAGTCACCCACATCCTTGAACTCTAAAAGGGACTCCCCAGAAATCTAGTATTATCTCAGGTACCTTAGAAATTTCCTCCTCTACTCCATATACCCCTTGCCTGCCTCCCCACCTGGTATCCTTCATATTCCCCTCACCTCATCTTTACACCCTAGAACTCCCATGCTGCACCCTTTATTACTTCCCCAAATCTCCTCCTCCCCTTCCCCAAATCAACTCCTTAAGGCCCCCTCTTAATCTATCCCAGCTGTCTTCTCTCCCAGGCTGTGCTTTTACCTCCCCAGCTGCCAATCTCATCACTCACCTGCTCACCCTTTCCCCCAGTCATGAAGATGGCACAAGGCCCTCCCCAAAACTGCAGGGTGGCTGATCCTCCAACCAGCAGTTCAGACATGCCCAGACACCTGGGTTACCTTCCAAGGAGACAGGCTCGAAGAGGCCAAACTGCTCCAGGACCTTGACAAACAGAGCGAGGACTACAAGCACGGCGACCATCTCTAGCCCTTCGAGGTTCATGGCGGGCCCCAGGCATGGCCCCTATCCGGCTGAGACTGGGACGCACCGCAGGCAGCCTCAAGCCACCTCCCCCTCAGGCTCCCCAGCCAGAGTAGGATCACCCGCAGCCTCCCTCCGGTTCTCCCGCCCTGGGTCTCCTCCCTCTCTCCCTCCTTCTCCTCTGCCCTACAAGCCTCCTAGCCACAGCCGCCGCCTCTTCCTCTTCATGGGGCCACCTCCCAGAGAACTTCTGGTGTGAAGGATATAGGCCAGAGGAGGGAGGCAGTGACCTGCCACCGTCCCCGAGAATGCTTCCCCCAAACACCCTGTGACCATTCTGGGCCACAGGGATAGGGCAGCAGGGAAGAGCAGGGTGCATGTATTACAGAAACTACAATCAGCATATGGGTGATAGATGCCCAGATACCTGGGTTACCTCCCAAGAAGATATGTTCAAAGAGGCCAAACTGCTTCAAGACCTTGACTGACAGCAAGGACTACAAGCACAGTGACCGTTTCCGGCCCTCCCAAGTTTGTGGTATGGGATAGAATATATTATAGGTGTATGGGTGTTTTTCTTTGGGTTTGCTGGTATGGAAGTATGTGTGTCCCCTCATACATTTGTCTGTGCACTTACACAAAAGTTTGTGTTTGTGTATCATTTGTATGGGGTCTGGCTGTCTGTGGATGCATGTGTGAATGTGTGGGAGTATTTCTGAGTATGTATGCAGGAAGGTGTGTTTAGTAGAGTTGTAGGATGTGGATCTGAAATTTGGTAGGCATGGCTATGTTGTATAATGGGTCTATAGTTGTGTAATTGTATTAACAAGGACTATATGAGAATATAAGGAGGTGGAGAAGGTGGCAGTGACCTCTCGGGATGTCAGACACAACTGACATCGATTGCGGTTGCCATGGAGACTGAGGCAGGAAGCACTTTCTTCCCACAGGCCTCAGACAGTGAAACTGAGGCCCAAGGGAGGGAGGATTAGGTCCAATATCCTGGCCAGGAAAAAGGCAGCTTATCCACTTCATGACCCTCTCTGGAGAGGACTTATTGCAGCTGCCTTAGGGACCAAGAGATCTAAGTTTCTTGAGGAGAGAGGGGACTGTGTGCTTCTCTTCCTTCCAGGAGATGCCAAATCCCTTCCTGCTCTTCAGAAATTGCTATTAATGTTGATGGAGAAGCCTAGGGTAGGAAGGAGATCTGAGCTCTCTCACCTCCATCCTCTGGATTCCCTCCCTTCTCTTCCTTGCTCCTTTCTGGTGATATAGGTATATGTAAAAGTCTGGGGGAAGCCTGCAGAGCCAGTGAGCCACAAGACAAGGGCCCATGAGTTAATAACACCTGACATCATGACTACTACTGCTGCCTGACAGTGATTGAGCACTCACTAAGTGCTAGATGATGTGCTGCTATATGCTTACTGATGTTATCACTCTGAGCTTGTTAAATACACCTATTAAGGCAGTAATATGATCCTCATGTCAGTGAAGCTAAATCAAAGGTTAAATAAATCTCTAAGAGCTTCAGTTTTTTTTCTTTTGAGAGAGAATTTTTATTTTTATTTTTTTAGTTTTCAGAGGACACAACATTCTTTGTTTTAGGGGCTGGGGATGTGGCTCAAGCGGTAGCGTGCTCGCCTGGCGTGCGTGCGGCCCAGGTTCGATCCTCAGCACCACATACAAAAAATAAAGATGTTGTGTCCACCGAAAACTAAAAAATAAATATTAAAAATTCTCTCTCTCAAAAAAAAAATCTTTGTATGTGGTGCTGAGGATCGAACCCGGGCCACACGCATGACAGGTGAGCGTGCTACCGCTTGAGCCACATCCCCAGCCCGAGAGCTTCAGTTTTAATCCAGTCTGACCAGATCTGAGCTTACACTCTTAAACTACATATATACTTGCTCTCTTATTAGAAAGCTTGCCCACCAAGGAGATAGATCCCTTTTAGGAGAATTGATCCCAGAGGGAGACCTCCCTCTCATCTAGTTCTGGAATGAGTGTGTCCTAATCCTAACTGTGGAGGTGGTGGCCTGGTAGTCTCTACAGCTCCAGTTGAGGTTCACTGGTCTGCAGTTCTCTACGACCACCACTGGGGGTCAGGCAACTATCTTACACCATATCTTATCCCTTCTCTCTTCCCCAACTCCCCCAAGTAGCAGGGTAGATGCAAGAAGAAGGTATGCCTCTTGCATGATTGGTGCTCTGCTTGCCCACCTCTTCTGAGGTTGCGGAGCCAATTCTCATACTCTGTGTAACCAGCAAATTTCTACCTCTCTTCAAATTCCATCCTGGAATTTAATATCCTTCCTCTGCCTTCATCAACAGATTCCTTTGTTTCACTTTGTTTCAGTCACCTCACTGTCTCCCAAACACACGGAACTCAGTTCTATCTCTCTGTCTTTGTTCCTGTCTGTCTGGGATGCCCCTCCTTTCTGCTTTCCCTCTATACTATAGTGTTGTGTTCTGTTTTGTTTTGTTTTAATTAGTGATGCTGGAGATTGAACCCAGAGACACTTTACCACTGAGCTACATCCCCAGCCTGTTTTATTTTTTATTTTGAGACAGAGTTTTGCTAAGTTACTTAGGGCCTCACTAAGTTGCTGAGGCTGGCTTTGAACTTGGGATACTCCTGCCTCTGCCTCTTAAATCCCTGGGATTACAGGCATGTTCCACTGCCCCCTACTTCCTACAGTTCTTATCTATCCTTAAATTCCTCTTCCTTTCAGAGGATCCTTTCAGAGCCTCCAGCCTACAGTGGTCTATCAGTTACCTGAATTCCTACAGAATTCAGCCTCAAAACTCAGCACTAAATTCTATAATGTTAATTAGATGGAACTGTAAACAGAGGTGGTGGAGCATGGGAATTAGTAGCATAAGGCAAGGTGCCAGAGTCCTTGAATTCATGAGGACCTAGCTTTTTTTATGGTACTGGGGATAAAACCCAGGGCTGCATGCATGCTAGGCAAGTGCTCTACCACCAAGCTACATACCTGGTCCTTTTTAAAATTTTCAATTTGAAAATGGGTGCAACGGTACATGCTTGTAATCCCAGTAACTCAGAGGCTGAGGCAGGAGGACTGCAAGTTCAAGGCCAGCCTGGAAAACTTAGTGAGACCCTGTCTCAAAATTAAAAAGGGCTGAGGGACATAGCTTAGTGGTAGAACACTCCTGGGTTTGACTCCCAGTACAACAAATAAATAAATTCTTAAGTATTTTTGGTGGAGGCACAGGGGATTGAACTCATGGCCACTGAGCCACATCCCCAGCCCTATTTTATATTTAGAGACAGGGTCTCACTGAATTGCTTAGTGCCTCACTTTTGCTGAGGCTGACGTTAAACTTGGAATCCTCCTGCCTCAGCCTCCCAGGTAGCTGAGGTTATAGGTATACACCTCTGCACCTGGCTAACTGAGTGCTTTACCTCTGTGTGCCTCAATGGTTGCAGGGGGGAATAAATGAACTAATGCATGAAAAGATGTTGTAATAATGCCTGGCAAGGAATAACTGCTAAATAAGTGTTATCATTATAAATAACATAACACTGCCCCTCCCCCGTATTTCTATAGCTCTTGACAATTTACAAAGCATTTCCACAAACATTATTATCTTTTTATTTTATTTTATTTTGGTATGAGAATTGAACTCAGGGACACTTGGACACTGAGCCACATCCCCAGCCCAATTTTGTATTTTATTTAGAGACAGAGTCTCACTGAGTTGCTTAGGACCTAGCTAAACTGCTAAGGCTGGCTTTGAACTCGTGATCCTCCTGCCTCCGCCTCCCAAGCAGCTGGGATTATAGGCATGCGTCACCGTGCCAGGCCCACAAACATTATTATCTTGATAAAGTCTCATGACTACCACATGAGTAGGCAGTGAATGGTATTATGTCCATTTCACTGATGAGGTAAACTGAGGCCAGGGATATAAAGACATTTACTTAGCTTGGAGCAGTGGTCCACACTTGTAATCCCAGCTACTCAGGAGGCTGAAACAGGAAAATTGCAAGTTCAAGGTCAGCCTCAGCAACTCATAGAGATCCAGTCTCAAAATAAAAATTAAACAGTGGGGGGATTGGGGATATGGTTTAGTGGTAGAGCGCTTGCCTAGCATGTGTGAGGCCCTGGGTTTGATCCTTAGCACCACATAAAAATAAATTAATCCTTAGCACCACACAAATAAAATAAAATAAATAAATAAATAGAAAAGGCTGAAGATTTACCTCAGTGGCAAAGTGCCCCTGGGTTCAACTCCCAGTGCCAGAAAAAGAAAAACTTGCTAAAGATTACCCAGATAAGAGAGAATAATGCAGAGATATAAACCCAGATCTCTTTGGGTCAGTTCTGTTTCCTTAACTAAATCCCAAGCTCCTGGAGGGTAAAGATGTTAAAAAATTGTACTTACACAAATAGAATGCCAAGTGTGGAACAAAGGTTCTACCTCTTACTATCCCTTGCTCCTCTTCTGTCAGGGATCTTGCCCCTTAATAGAACTATAAAGCATCTATTAATTTAAAAATAATTGTTTTATGCCTACTCTGTGATAGAAACTATCCTAGGCAAGGTATGAAATGAGCTATAGAAAAAAAAAAAAACTTTCTAACTGGGAGGCCAGAGAAACTTGGAGAGGTACCTTTTGAGTAGTTCTTTTAAATTTTTAAAAAATTATATTTATTTATTATTGATTGATTGATAATTAGGATTGAACCCAAGAGCACTTTAACACTGAGCTATATCCCTAGTCCTTTTTATTTTGAGACAAGGTCTTCTCAGTTGCTCAGGGCCTCACTAAATTGCTGAGGCTGGCCTCGAACTTGTGATCTTCCTGTCTCARCTTCCCAAGTCCCTGGGATTACAGGGACCATCGTGCCCAGCACCACCATGCCCAGCAAGCCCTTTTTATTGAGTCAGGGTCTTGCAAATTGCTGAGGCTAGCCTCAAATTTGGGATCCTCCTGAGTAACTACTATTATAAGCGCACGATAAGTGCATGCCACTGTGCTGGCTGGGACCCTCCTTTTCCTCTTTGCTCCCCCACTTTCAATTCTCAAAGACCTCGACCCAGCTGCATAGGGATTCAAGGGCCTAAACCAATCAGGGGTCTGGTGGGAAGCTCTGTTAGAAGTGTAGTGGTGTATTCCTGTAATTCAGCTACTAAGGAAGCTGAGGCAGAAGAATTGCAAGTTAGAGGTCAGCCTGGGCAGGTTAATGAGACCTTGTCTCAAAAAAAAAAAAAAAATTTCTAAAAAAATTTTTTAAAAGGGTTGTGGATGTAGTTCAATGGTAGAGTGCAACTGGGTTCAATGCCCAGTACTGTAAAATTCAAAACAAAACAAAACAAAACAAAAAAGTGAAAGAATAAGTTGTTTCTCAGGCTCTCCCTTCCCCCTCAGAGCCTTCTCAAGTCTTTAGGGCTCTGTGCCACTGACATTAGCTCTTCTTCACCCAAGGGCGTGAAATCTTAATGGAAGCACTTCAATGAGAACTTAAGGCAGAACTGTCTTAGAGCATTAGTTTGGCCCTTCCCATGTCCCTTAAATCTCACCACAAAGATACTGCTATTATTTAGATGTTTACCTCCCACAGTACAAACCTGGAATAATATTGCCTTGTGGAGGAATCCACCCTATATACAACCCTTTTTAAAAAAAAAWTTTTTTTTTTTGAGACAAGGTCTCATTAACCTGCCCAGGCTGACCTCTAACTTGCAATTCTACTGCCTCAGCTTCCCTAGTAGCTGAATTACAGGAATACACCACTACACTTCTAACAGAGCTTCCCACCAGACCCCTAATTGGTTTAGGCCCTATACTATGTTATCCAGTCAGCGAAGACCCCAAAGCCCTTCTCTCAGTCCCCCAAACCCACTCCAACCCCAGCTAAATCAAAAGACACTGCAGCCCCCATCTGCATCAGGTGATTAATGACCTTCCTAGATGTTGGGGCTATTTTGGGTCTGGAAGTCATGCCTGCAATGATTGAGAGCTGGCCCTGCCTGGCTCTGGAGCCATCTGTCACTGGAGACAAGACCAAGGAGGAGGTTTGGGGGATGCATGCTCTGCAAGAGACTTCTAAGCATGTCTCTGGCTCAGCCCCAACTCCCCTCCTTCAGGAGGCACATGGCAAGAAGTGGCCATATACCCTGCCTGTACTCGAAGGGTTCAAGTAGGTAACCATAGAGAGAGCTAGAGAACTACAGATCCTAAAATGCTATGGGGCCAGGTTGTTTCAGTCTCTTTGAGGCCCAATAGAGAGGGGATTCTGGATTCATAGGACTTGCGCACCTTGTCTGTGGACCACTTCCAAGTGGAAGTGTGCACGAATCTCAGCAGGACTATATGATACAATCCATAAATCATAAACTCCACAAATGTCACACCAATGTACAACCTCATAAAAGCTGTACAAGTAACCTAGTGATTCAGGAACCCCCAACCAAACCCTACAGCATAACACTCTAGGTGATCCGAGGGATATGTAACCTCAGGATGCACAGCCCCAGTGATCACAATCACATGGACACATAGCCTTAACAATGTACAATTTAGTAATGCACCATC